CTACGGGAGACTGGCCCAGGTCTCAAAAAGGTTGCCTGTCCCTGGCATGGACCATCCTAACTTCAGTATTCAATGATATAGCTTTGCATTTCAGCATCTATTTCTCATAGCTGCCCTTTCAAATCCTAGTCTTTTTCTGATATCTTGACTGCAGTCACCCTTTGGATTAATGACTGAGCCAAGGGATGGAAAATCTTGAATTATTTAAATGTCTTAATCGTCTTGGCTTCTGTTGTTGTTGTTGTTGTTGTTGTTGTGTGCCTTCAAGTCATTTCTGACTTATGCCAAACCTAAGGCGACTGACTCTATCATGGGGTTTTCTTGGCAACATTTGTTCAGAGGTGGTTTGCCATTGCCTTCCATTACTCAAACAAACAACAATAGCCTCTATTACAGTCAACAGACCATTAGACAACATATAACATACATATTAAAACAGTACAATAAAAATATGTGTTACTAAATGTACTTTCTATCATAATAGTTTCTAATATAAAATTTGCTAAATAAGTAACAGGGTAGCATAATGATAAAAACAAGTTTAAGTAATTATTTGGTCATTTCTTGAAAAGAATAAATGTCTACCTATATTAGTCTTGAGAACCAACATGGTGTAATGGCTTTAGTGGAGGACTAGGACTCTGGAGATCAGGGTTGGATTCCCTACTTGGCCTTGGAAACCCACTGGGTGACCCTGGGTGAGTCACACCTTCTCAACCTCAGAAAACCCCACGATAGGTCTGCATTTGTTGTTGTTGTATGGCTTCAAGTCATTTCTGAATTATGGCAACCCTAAGGCAAACCTATCATGGGGTTTTCTTGGCAAGATTTGTTCAGAGGAGGTTTGCCATTGCTTTCCCCTGAAGCTGAGAGCGTGTGACTTGTCCAAGGTCACCCAGTGGGTTTCATGGTCGAGCTGGGAATCGAACCCTGGTCTCCAGAGTCATAGTCCAAAACTCAAACCACTACGCCACTCTGATTCCTCTGGGATCCCTTTGATTTGATTTAGGACCCTTGGTAGCAACCGCCCTGCCGAATCTCCATATTCAATGAGCATGTACCTCCATCTGCAATTTTGCACAAGATACAAACAAAAGCATCCAAATTCATGTGCAACCCCGCTTTCTGCAGTCTCAAACTGACTTATTTTGGCCATTCCACGTCAGATAAAAATGTCCATCTCATTTTTGTAAGACATCAGCAGGATTCCAGACATGATCTCATGCTCCGGAGGTTTTCCCTCCTCTCTCACCCATTGCAACACGGTCCTTTACATTCTCTCCTACCATCTCCATCCCTTTATACCTATTCTGCACTCTCCTGCATCTCCTGTCTGTTCTTTTCCTGCCTTTGTCCTTGCTTCACCTTTGTTCTCAGCTCTCTCATTTTCCCTTAGAGTGCTCCACATCCCAGGGTCTAAATTGGCGGTGAGAGTTTCTGGCAGATTACTCTGTGAAGACATTAACTCGGCATGGCAGCTATGAAAAAGACAAATCCCATGCATGGGATAATTAGGGAACGGGCTGAAAGTAAAATGTCTGGTATCATAAATGGTGCAGCTGTCTCTGTGAGCATGGGTTGGACATATGATTCTTTTGGAGTGCAACTCTCAGAATCCATAAACCATGAAATGGAGCAAAGGAGTATATCTCTATACTGGTATAGAGATTGAAGAAAGGTTGTCATGATCAGGAGATCTTGTACACTGTTGAATTGTATAGTTGGCCCTCCGTATCCACAGATTGTGCATCCATGGATTCAACCATTTGTTCCTATTGTTGTGTGCCTTCAAGTCGTTTCCGACTTATGGTGAACCTAAGGTGAGCCTATCATGGGTTTTCTTGGTAAGCTTCTTCAGAAGGGGTTTG